CATGACTGTCCTCTGAGAGGCTCCACCCATCAACTGACTGAGATAGATGCAGACACCTACAGCCAAATAGTGGATGGGGCTTGGGGACTCTTATGAAAGAATAGAAGGAAGGATTGCAGGCCCCAAAGGGGATAGGAACCCCACAGGAAGACCAACAAAATCAACTAACCTGGACCCTTGGGCCTCTCAGAGTCTGAGCCACCAACCAAAGAACATACACAGGCTGGACCTAGGGTTCTCCACACATATGTAGCAGATGTTCTTCTTGATCTTCACGTGGGTTCCAAACAACTGGAACTGGGGCTATCACAAAAGTTGTTGCCTGTATGTCGGATAGGTTCTAGCTGGGTTGCTTATCTGGCCTCAGTGGGAGAGGAAGAGCCTCGCCTAGTAGAGACATAAAGTGCCAGGGTGGGGAGGTACCTAGGAGTGGGGGCCCCAGAAGCTCAGAGGATGTTCCAAGGGAGGGAATGGGGAAAGGATTGTGGACAGGGATGGCCTATAGGAGGGCAGTGAGTGGGATGTAAAGTGAATAAGTAAATAAACACATAACTAACTAACTAACTAACTAACTAACTAACTAATTTAAGAGATCCCACTTGGAGAGATGGCTCAGTGGCTAAGGGCATTTGTTGATCTTGCTGAGGGCCTGAGTTTGATGCCCTATACCCACATATCAGCTTATACCTGTCTATAACCCCAGTTCCAGGGGATCAGATACACTCTTCTGACCTCTGAGGGCATCAGGCATGTGCATATGCACACACAGATGCACCAGGCATGCACATAGTGCACAGACATGCAGGCAGAACACTCTAACACATAGAATTTGTAAAATCTAATATTTTGAGGTTAAAAAGCCCCCATCTGTTCAAATCTCATTGACTTTGGAATGAATGTGACACTCGAGAACCTTTGGGATCTGGCTACATCCATGTTCTCTCTCTGCTCATCACAGTTCACTTTGAAATGTATTCATTCACGCAGGACCAAACTAATGTCTTCTCTCCCAGCAAACTCCTTCTAACGGTCAATACTTTATACCTCTTTAATTTTATTATTATTTTGAAAAATGGTTTGAGTGCATGTATGTGAATGCACACATGCATGTACATGTGTGCAGTTGTCCATGGAGATAACTTGATGCAGTGAGTTGATTATTCTGTCTCCATATGTCTCCCTCTGTTCCCAAAGAGCACAATATAAGAACCAGATTCACACACAAAATGAGACTTTATTTAGCATATTTCAGAAGAATGTACCAAGGACAGATTTACAGCACCTATTTTAAGAAACACGAAAAATATTAATAATAGTTAAACCACAAATATTAATCTCTCTTCATTCCCCAAGAAGGAGTCTGTTATTCCTGTCTGGCACAAAAGGCATCATAACCAGTTTAGAATGCATTCAATTAAACCAATATATGAAACCATGATTTGGGGCAGAGTCTCTGGGACTACCTGCCCATGTAACAGTATCAATTCATAAATTTGATTGGAGTGTGAGGGGATTTCTATTCTTGCTGACAGGTGGACAATAAATTCCAACCCATTTGTGCACCTGAAGGTAAGTTGTGCCAATGGGAACTAGGCCCCAGGACTATAGTTTTGAAAATCCTTTGAAAAGGCACTTTTAAATTACAAACCTTTTGTTTTAAAAGGAAACTCTTAAATTTAAAATGGAAACTATTAAAGTGAACTGTTTTATTGACTGAGTGCACTTGTCCTATTGTTCTCAGTCTCAAAATAGCACATGAAATTTGGTATTAAAGGCAGTTTTAGAAATGTTTTAATGAGAATATACATAAATATATATCCTCTTGTAATACTTTTGTTTTTAAAATATAATAAAATAATCTGAGTTCTTTTGCAAATATATTTGATCTACAACTGTAACTCTTCAAACACCTGAGCTGCAATCCCTGCCCTCCCCTCACCCCCCGAATTCTCACTGTCTCTTATTAATACTGCCTCTCATCTGAGACAGCCAAAGAGGAAAATAACAACAAAAACAAAACAGAGCAGCCTTCTGGGTCTTGGCACTTCTCTAGGAGGGCAGGGATCATCAACTATGGATCAGCTAAATGCAAGTCTGATTAACTTCCCAGTCAGGTACTGGTTTCTGTTTAGGTCTTAAAACTGCAGTACTCTTTTTTTTCCTCCTGCTATCAGTACTCCAATAGCCTGTCCTGGGGTTTTTGCTCTTTTATGGGGAAAGGACTTATCTTCTTTGATTTTGAGTTCTATGTACTGAAGAAAACAGGCATACCAGTGCCAGTGGGATGGAGAACTGCCGGTGAGGACTTCAGCCAAGATGATAATTTACTTCACATCTATTCCCAGCTGTACCAGGATAAGTTCTTGCTTGTCACGTACCAGGGATGTAAGGAATGAAAGGCACCTCTTCCTGCATACCACTGTGGAGCCATGTTACATATCCTGTAGTATACACTTTTAAAGGTAAATAAATGTACTATGTTCTACTTCAAAAAGTGACCAAATTGTGGGTCACATATAGAATATTGCATGCATTTTGTGAACTAATTTTACATGTACACACACTCACTCACTTTACTACACAAACCACGAACACACACAATCTAATCTCTAGCACCTTACCTCCAAGAACACATTTTATATACAGCTTACATTAGAAGAAATACCACAAGAGAACACAGCACTGACACAAGACAAAAGTACTAAATTTTCATTAAAGTTATAACTGATGAAGAGGGGAAAATCCATTCACGTCTGAAACAGCAAACTAAAACCAATCTTGTTTTTGTCTTAGAGCTAAAGAAAGGCAGCGATTAATTTTCACACAACAGACCTCCTTAAGTGTACACATTGCTGTGGTTTCCCCTTAGTGTGTATACTGCTAAGATATGGAGGCTTTGGGAGGCAATGATGGAAACCTAACTTCTATTGGCAGCCTTCGTGTTCTTTGAGGATTCTTATCCTACTTACCAAAAAGCAATGAACTTGCCAGTGACCTGGCAGTGGCCAAGTTCTGTATATTTGACTTTTCCTGTATCTTTCTCTAACCTATTTTGTGGCTTATAGCCTAAGTGTGCTAATGTGCACATTAAACATTTGCCATAGGGGAAGATGTCACATATCATTGGAACGGTGTCTGTTCTTCATGGGTTTTAGGCTACAGTTTGTTTCCAGCACATGCTTCTGCCTCCTCAGATGTCTAAACTTGGAAGTGGTATGGGGCCTTTAGAGGCTTAGAGTAAGAAGAAAAACTAGAAACACAATTAAGTAGGGAGAGTGTTAAAAGCCCTGACCAGATTCCTTATCTCAGCACTTAGCTTGCAGCCAATTGTTCCTTTAATCCTATTTTTTGTTCCCTGGAAGATGTTGTATGTGTTGTCAAATGGACTTAACACACTTGTACAGGTTCTGGTTGCACTTGGATTTTGGATTTTGACAAACAATTTTCTCTGTTACACTTTTTGGAAAAAAATGAATGGAAGTGTGAGGGTTAGATATGATGACTTATCTGCGGTTCTCTCAAGTTCTAAATTAGTGAAGTGGAATTCGATAAACTTCCTGTGGATATACTGATCTGACAGGCCATTTCAATACTATTTGGTTGTATCAAGTCTCCTGCATTCTGAATACGGTAATCCCACACCCTCACAATTCACAACCGTTTACCTTTCCTGCCTTGAGAAGCTCATGCTGGAATCTGTGAGGAGGAAGAAATATAACGTCATTCCTGACACATACTCTCTCCTGCATTTTTACAGAGAACTTACACGTTTTAGAGAGAGAGCCACAGGTTGAAAAGATGTATATGCATGTAGGAAGGAACATGCCTATCCTCATATGGAGAACCTACTTCATGTTTATTAGGGTATAGAGATAGAAGAAACTTCTTACAGACATAAAATTTATTGGCAGTGTGAGTTTTCTAGAGCTTTGGCCATCCATACTTGAATTTCTTTCTTCCTTTTCTCTGTCTTTCTTTCTTCATTTCTTCTTGAAACCTGAAAATACTGTTTAATCAAAACATCAGTTTGAAATAAAAGCAAATAAAGCCCAGTGACTGTCAGAGGTCTAGAGAGTTCTTATAAGCATCCCAACTCAGCGACAGAAGGGAAATAGTAAGATAGTGGCCTGATTTCTTTCCTGCTGTTACTCAAATAGGAGACAGAAAATATTTGTGTCAATCCTGCTTTTTCCATTTGCACAGTGGTCAGTCCCTGCACATGTAGCAGGGTAGGGGAGGGTGGAGAAGAAGAGGAGAGAGAAAGAGAAAGAAACACACTGTTGTTTAGCTCCGTGGATACGTCTTATTTCTCCATTTCTTCCTTTGACCTAGCTCCTCATTTCAGGTTTACCTTTTTCTGTATCCCTTGTGAAGACCTAGAAGCTTTCTTTCTTGTCTAACTGCATAATCCACCTTTGCTGCAGTTTGAATTATAGGCTTTGCACCATATACTGTGGGACTCTACAGTACAGAAATCTGCTCATGTGGTGATCCGTCCGTCCACTTAGCTCTGCTTTTGGGGCTCCATAAGTGATTTGGTCAATTTCTTTTCTTTCAGCTGAACACAATATGTAGCCCGGGCCCATGAGTTCCTGACCTGAAGGCCAAAGTCCTTATGTCCGTAGGCATTGCTTTTCCTTTTACTCAGAGCTAAAGCTGATGTGTTATAGCTCTGGGGAGACAGGCAGAATACCAAGAACTGTTCCAAACCAGATAGCCCTTTCTTTGGGAAATTTCGAGCCTAATATGTGTATATCTGTATATATTTGGTGGAGATCCTAAAGTCGATGCTTTGACAAGCTTATACTTTTCAGGAAATTTCCAAGTCCCTACTTCTTCCTTATATTTATCTGCCATGTGGTGGGAAAGGATGTGTGCGCAACACCTTTGCCTGAAATGGTAAGCACTGGCACTAATGAGACTGTGAGCGGTGCGCTGAAAAGAAAGCTGCTCTTGTGTTCTGTTTTTGTGTACAATTAAAGTTTGCCTTACTGTTAACTTTAAGGTGAAGTAGCCGAATCGTGAGAGGGGACAGCCTTGCCTTCAGTACCTCCCTCTGTGCCAGCTTCCGTTTCGTGAAGGTCAGGGTGGCTATCTTCCACAGGGGGGCTTTTCTTACAGATTAACCTCTTCAGTACCTCCTGGATTTCCTTCTTGATGCTCTTGTGCATATAGCCATAGACATATGGGTGGATGCAGCACTGCAGGAAAAAAAGCCAGATTATTATGGTGATCACCCACTGGGGTACCTGGGTATCAATATTCACCCACACAGCCAGCACTGCCAGAAAGCAGTAGGGCCCCAGAGATAGCATGTAGGAGAAAATGATGATGAAGATCACTCTAGCGGCTTTGCACTCATAGCATGGAGGCAAAGGTGGGTTGCTGGCGCTGTTTCGACGACTGGGTGGACGGCTCTCTGGAATGCGCATTGCCTCGACATCATCGTTGAAATGGATTTCATCCATGCCAAACTCGACATCATCTTCGCCCACATCAATGCTGCACTGATTGACATCTATGCGGCCAGTGTTTGCCTTTGCGCTGCTAGCCTGAAATTCAGTGATGACTTCCAGTCCCTCCATGCTGCCATTACTGACCTCTTCACTGCCCTTGGCCTCCATGATACCTGCACTGAAATCCAGGCTTCCTTTTCCGGTCTTCATGCTGCTGTCCTCGGCTACCATGAGATCCTCTTCCATGGTGCTGCTTTCCTTAGCCTTGGTCTGACCACCTTCATCTTGGCTCTGGAACTCATTCTCGTCCTGGAACTCATCCTGCTTCTTTGCTCCCTGTTCATTCTCATGCACCACAGAGTCCTTGACTCTCACCTGCAGGCGGTGGCTCCTGGCCTTATACAGGAGAGCTTGCTGCCTCCGGGCTGCACCAAACACCACAGAATAGCAGCCAACCATAACACCCAGTGGAATGACGATGAAGGATATCACACTGACAACGGTATAGGCAGGGCTGGCTCCCCAGATCATGGAACAGAAGGCATTACGGTCATCAAAGGTAGCGCGGCCCCAGCCATAGAGTGGAGGTGTGCTCTGCAGGAAGGCTACAATCCAGGTGCCATAAAGGAGAATATAACTACGTCGGTTGGTCATCTTGGATGGGTAGGAAAGAGGGTGGATGATGGTCAGGTAACGATCTACTGACACCACCACAATGGTATTGACGCTAGCAAAGGCAAATAAGTGGGTGAGGCTAACCAGGGCAGTGCAGAAGTGGATGTTGAGAGGCCAGAAGAAAGGAATGGCGGTGGACACCACCCAGGGGGCCACGAGAGCAACCTGCAGCAGGTCAGTGACAAGCAGGTTAAATATGAACCGGTTGGTCACCTGCAGCAAGTTTGGCTTACGGTGCAATACATAACCCAGCACTACGTTACCCAGAAAGGCTACACCAAGGATGACAAGCAGCACAACGGAGCGGATGATGCCGTGAGCTACACTAATAGGCATCTTGGAGAGGGGGAGGCACGCTCGGCTGCTGCCGTTGTTCTCTTGAGTACTGTTGGTGCAGCTCGACGGCATGCTGAAGTCAGACAGGCAGTAGATGAGATCCAGCTTAAAGTCTGTACTAGTGGACAACACTGTACACTATATTGAGGACGAGAGAAACATGTGGGCAGAGTTAGTGCCTTGCAGAGACAAGCCTCTGAGCCAAGCAGCATTGCTACAGAACCCCTTTCTCAGATCCCTGTGCAGTCCTAACCCCTATCAGAGCAGTTTCTCTGGCTTTTTTTCGAACTCTTGGGGTCTCACTACTGGGGTCTCTTCTGTGTTACATGCTCTTTGTCTGGCTTGTCCTTCTCATTAGCAGTGAGCACTCCCTCAGCATGTCCCTCCAATGTCTCTTGGGCTTTTCGTCTATCTAGCTGACACATCTATCTCACTGACACACGCACTTACACTCTGTACCTGCCTGCCTATGTGTCTAGAATTCTCTCTCCAATGTTTTACTGGGGCACGTTTCCTCTGTACAGATGTTTCCACAGACATTGACTCATCCTTCGCTCTATAGTCCGTCTTTCAATTCCCCAGTAGCATGAGCATAGCCACTCTATGTCTGGTTGTGGCTGTCCTCTGTCTGATAATTTCCCCCTCCCTCCCTCTCCCT